TGTACATGTAGCATCTCACTTTTCCCTACCCCCCTGGGAAGTTCCAGCTGTTCGAGTGTTCTTTCTCCCTCCCTTGCTCGAAAGCCCAACTGTCTACGGTCGCTTCCCGCTCTTTTTCTTGACCACTTTCACTCTCATTCTCATGCCATTGCTGTGTACACAGATGGCTCTAAGTCTTCTGACGGCGTAGGATTCGCAGCAGTGTTTCTGGACAGCGTCGTACAAGGGCATTTACTATCTTCAGCTAGTATTTTTACTGCTGAATTATATGCCATCCTTACAGCACTTATCCGTATTGCATCTATGCCTGTGTCATCATTTGTGGTTGTCTCAGACTCCCTTAGTGCTTTACAGGCTATACAAAAATTTGATACACCTCACCCCTTAGTCCTCCGTATCCAACTTTGGCTACGCCGCATCTTTACTAAGCATAAAGATAGTTTTTTGTTGGGTCCCTGGTCATGTTGACGTACAGGGCAATGAACAGGCAGACACTGCTGCGCGGTCAGCAGTACATGACCTACCAGTTTCTTATAGAGGTATTCCATGTACGGACTATTTTGCTGTAATATCTTCCCACCTTCACACCCGTTGGCAACAACGTTGGTCTACTATGCTTGGCAACAAACTTCAGTCTATTAAATCGAGTATAGGTTACTGGCCGTCTTCTTATCACCAGTGTCGAGGTTGGGAGACTACTCTCTCCCGTCTTCGCATTGGCCATACTCGTCTTACTCATGGATATCTCATGGAGAGGCGTCTTGCTCCTCTCTGTGAGAATTGCCAAGCTCCATTATCAGTCAGCCACATCCTGTTGGACTGCCCACTTTATCAACGAGCACGCAGAATTTACCTCTGTCGTCGTCTTCGCCCCGCTGCTCTCTCTTTACCTTCCCTTCTCGCTGATGGACCCACCTTTCATCCGGACTCTCTCATTGACTTTTTGACAACGACTGACTTACTTCACAAATTCTGATACTTTCAGCCCTTTCTACTTGAATCTCTTGCTACCCTCTACCCCCGTACTATCCCCTGCCCCGCTGTTTTCTGTAACCTGCTGATCATCCCCCCTCCCTTCTGCCATCCAATTCCCTTGCTTCCTTCCCTACCCTGCAGCGCTGTATAGCCCTTGTGGCTTAGCGCTTCTTTTTGATATAATAATATTGCATCAGGGCTTCTGGGAGGAAATTGTGGGGTTGGTGGACATATGGGAATGTGCGTGTGCAAGTAAATGGGTGGGGGGGGGGGGTTGAGGGGCAGTAGTAATTTGCAGGGGGATCTGTACAGGATCCTTATGGATTAGTGGAGGCGAGGAGATTCAGGGAAGGGAGGACAGGGCCGGGTCTGGTAAGGTACGTGGATGATGCAACAGTCCTGGTAGATTAGCAGACGAGGTTGTGCGAGGTGGTCTGGGTGTACGGGGGCATGACTGGAATGGTGGTTAATGTGGAGAAGTCTTCCATCTTAGGTTTGGGGGCATGGGAAAGGAGGGTGGAGTGGGGGTATTGGGTGGTGGCAGTGCACGAGGATCTCTGGTATTGTTAATGGGGGGGATTTGGTACTGGTGCATGAAGATAATTCAATTCATATGGAGGAACAAACAACTGGGAGCCTTGCAACCAACTATTGCTGAGGGAGATTGTGGTAAAAATACTATTTTATAGTAAGATATGGTTTGTTAGCAATGTATTTCCATTAACAGCACATGATCCAACATATTCAATGAAGACTTTTTGTAGGGTTCAGGGTGCGATTGGTTGAAATGGGAGGTGGTCATGATGCCAGTGTGGAAGGGTGGATTGGGTCTTCTGGATACAAGGCATTGGGTTAAACGTGTTTTTATGGAGTGAGGCACTGAAGGGGAGGGGGTCTCCGTGAGGGATGACTGGGGGGGGGGGGAAGGTCCACGAGGTGTTGTAGGGCTTGTACAGGGGATGGGGGGGATGAAACTGCAGGAGTGAAGCAGTCTTATGGGTGTTGGCACTGGCCCGTGACCTGGGGTCAGGGTGGGGGTTTTGCGAAGGGTGCTAGGGAGGAACAGTCACTAGGGGAGGGGTTTCACCCATTGTATGATTGGAGGAGGATTAGGAGGTCGAGGTTACAACCCTGGGTGCACTAGGTCATGTTTCGTTTTTTGCATGGTATTTTGCCATCTGGTGCAGTCCTGTGGGATAGAAGGGTTGGAGGTGAGGGGTGGTGTTGATTGTGTGGGGGGAGGAGGCAGCCTTTTATATTTCTGCAAGAGGCTGGGGGGATCAGGGAATCTGACTGGTTGTGGCACAGGTAGGGGCACAAGTTTTGCAGGCACTGAGTTTGGATGTGGGAGTGAATAAGGGTATGGCATGTGTGATGGTGGACTATTTACATCTCATGGAGTATGAGGGCATCAAATGAGTGGGAGGTGAGGAAGTGTGTTCTGGTAGCAATGTTCGTAAATTGCATAGGAACAGGGATATTTATGGGACTAGGTGGGAGGAGTGCTTTTCAGCGGGTTACTATACCCTCGGTACAGGATTTGTGCGTGATGCAAAGGGGGGGGGATGGATCAAGGGAAAGATGACAGGCTTGCCATCAGGAGGGAGGGGGGGAGGGGTTGGGTGTGGGGTGAGCATGCTGAGTCAGGTGTGGAGTGGAGAGAATGGATGTGCCATAGATAGGTGGGATCATAAGGCAGCTTTTCAGTAAGAGCTTAATAGGGTGTGTGAGGGACCTGGATTACGCCAGTGCGAGTTGGCACCAGTGGTAACAGTCTTGGCTGGCGTGTATGTAGACAAACTGAGGTGCATGGAGGCAGCCAGCACCTGTGTCAAATGGTATGGTTTAGGGTAACATTTGCTGCAGGAGAGAGTGTGGGGGGTTTTACACTAGGCTGGGGTAGTCTGGGCCCTGAGATCCATTTGTCATGTCATACTATGTTGTAAACCATTTTAACGGCAGTGTATACTGTCAGGTAAGGTTTTAGATTTTAAGAATGTTCTGCCTGTGACTGGGCGTTCAACCTGCAGGGTATCCTGAGTGGACGATATCGACACTTTAGGCCATTTGTAATGGCTCTTGCTTTATGTGTATGTACATTTAATGAAGTATATAAGTTAGGGTACACTGCCAGTGGGGTGGGGGGAGGGTGGGTTGTGCAAGGGGAAAACTGGTCAGGCCGCATGGTGCAGCGGACGTTCACGAGTCCCGTGTATGTATAGTATCGGGCATAACAGATTGTTATGCAATGTTTTAGTATAGGGTGGGGTTTTGTTCTGCTCCCCGCAGTTGTCAGAACTGAAGTTAACTAATGGCAAGTTTGTAAAAAAAAAAAATTACTGGAACCCTTGAAGTTCCTCAACCTGTACCCCCTAGAACGTATGCAGTTATATACACTCCGAAAATACTAGAGGGATTAGTACAAAACACTAAAATCTCTCCCTATGAAAGCAAAAGACTTCATACTATCCAACATCCCCCTATTGAAAAGCAGGATAATACTGCCTCCCCAGCATACGCAAGGGAGGATTACCAAGAGAAATCTGGCCGTCTTCAAGAAGGGACTGGACAGACACCTGAAGTCCGTACCTGACCAGCCAGGCTGCGGCATTTTATGCTGGGTCGAGTATGGCCAACAGCCTGGTTGATCAGGCCCTGATCCACCATGAGGCCGGGCCACAGGGGAGTTGACCCTGGAACTCCAGGTAAAGCCTCTTTACTGCACCAAGGAGCCTCTTACCTTGAGGATAGGTGGACAAATCAGCTTTTGACTATTAAGAGCACCTAAAACCACCGTGAATTTAAAACTCGAGTCTGTACTACCAGCAAGCAGATGTAAATGGTGTGAAGTTCCTCATCCTACAGAAAATACCTTGAACACCTCCCTGCAAGAATATACGTGAAGTAACTGGGCAAAGATTATGTGCTGATCACGTTTCACGGAAGTGCTAATGACCTTATCTCTAAAACCCTCTTCACACGGCAAGGGTCAGATTCCTAGCGTGGGTATAAACATTGGGCGGGTTGTCTGTTCACTCATCAGTAAAATGGGTACCTATGAGTTAATCTACTGGTGTGGGTCGCATCCTAGGACAAGGGCCTAATTTTCCCGGAATGCTCTGCATAAGGGGGGTTTTTATATAGTAGTACGTCATTTATGTCACCTAGGACCGTATACCATGTACATGTAGTCAAGATGTAGCAGATCGTAGTCTTTCTTTGAGCAATGAAATTCATTCTTGCACATTCTGGTGCAATTGGAGCCAGATCACTCACTCCCCCACCAGCATCAGAACTTCCCTCGAGGAATTTAATCAAGAGTGTATAGCTTATTCAGTCCTCCAGTAATGCACTAACAGCAGTCATTAATGTTCATTCGTTTTAGTATACATGTCAGACTGCAAGCTAAACGTCCCAATCCATATCTAACCAGTTTTATTTTAGAAAAGTTACAGGAGGGGGGGATTCTTTGCTAAATAAACTACTTCGATACTAAACTACCAGTGCAAGATGCACTGACGTATGCACAAATTAGTGAAGGAATATTTACGTTAAAGAGTAAGCACTGAACTCTATGGTTATATCAGAAGACTTCGGCAATTAAGATGAAAGTTATTACAAAAAGACTGACAGCATTTATTTTGGTTTAGACTGGAGATAACTTCAAAACTTCTTGCCATCTAGCTGTGCACAAAATTTAAATAATTTATTGGTATGTCTAGGAGATCTGTGCGAAGAAAAAAGTGACGAGCCTTTCACTGGTATAATTGTCATTTAGGTAAACAAAATTAACTGAATTGAGGGGAATTTGTAGTTATAGATAAATTTACTCTTTAGAAACTGTCCACAAGGGTTTTATTTCTATTAATAAGATCTTCCCAATTATATTAATTTCTGCACCTGCAAGTCTCAGAATGCAAAGCAATTTGTGCAATTCCTAAAGAGGGTCACCCAGATCCTTTACCTGTTGCACGAAGTATTTCATCGGCATGACCATTCACCTAGAAATTAAGGATAAAGTCAAATTTTATTCTAAGAAAATATTTTATTATGGCTTTAAATAGTTTAAAATTTTCTAAACTCCCTGCCCCCAAATGGTAGTCTGTTTAAACATTTGCACGTACAAGTATTTTAGTAACTATCAGAAAGTTAGAGAAATTAGGTATGTTGGAGGGGGGGGGATGGGGAAAATTATAGTTAAGGTTATAAATAGGAATAAGTCCCTACAGGTGATTAGATCAAGTTATTTGCGTCAAGCAAGTTACAGCTGAGGGTTTTCTTGGGAAGAGCTGCTCCTCTCATCACAAGGCGGGCTAGGACAGTGGTACGGTCAGTTTGTCCCAGCAGCAAGTAGTGGTCTACAATGCCAGTCATGTTGTGGTGTTTACTTTTACATGTTGGATCCATTCCACCCGCGGGGTACTCAGCTGAGCCATTTCCTTCAGCGTTTCACCTGGGTGAAGAAATTTTACCGTTAGCAAAGTTTATCCTATCTTTTTGGAAAGATTAGGCCAACTGCTTAAACAGTTAGCCACTAAGTGTGACTTCACTATCCCACTATACAGTACAGGATCAGTATTACAGGGGAGGGATGTGGAAGGTATTCAGGATACTGGAGCACAGATCCAATTTCCTAGAAAAAGATTCCTTCACCAGCATCATGGAACCTTCGAGAGGATGCATGGCTGAAATCTGGTACCATAAATGAAGTCTTTACTAGTGGTTTTATTAGAACGGTTTTGTACATTAAAAAAAACTAACGTCAGAATGGTTTAGACTGGCTAATGTGGTTGGAAGAGCCAGTCCATTCATAGGATGGAACTTTTTTTTTAAACCAAGTCAGGTTGTAACTAAATTATAGTTTTGTATTTTACAGCTCTACACAAAGGTCTTTCTAGATTTAGAATGTCATAACAGGGTAAGGGGGAAGTCTCCACAGCATGAAATCTAGATGGCCTAAGCCCCTAACCTGCATTCAGTAATATGAAGACCAAAGTTCTAAAGGATACCTGGGTTAAAATAGAATGCTAAAATTGGAACAATTACTGTAAAATATGAAGTTTTAAGTGGCAAGATGTACAATTTTTCTAATTTGCCAAGAAAGCATGCCCAAAGTCAGCACCTTTACAGCTAATTACAAAGCTCAAGTACTTATAGACGAGTAGGCCTATTTTATTAGCATTTCAGATTAAATAGAATACTTAGCAAGCTAAAGAAAACTAACCTAGTAACGTGTAGACCAGAGGTACGCGACTCTCCTGCAGGGCAATGATTATGTAGGAGCCAGTGGTTTCAACACCAGCAAAGAAAGCTGTCACTTTTAGTTTGGCAGCCATGACGTGTATGTCAAGCCAAGTCAGACTCTGATCTTGCAGGTCAACCGAGTACAGCTGCAAATTACGTAGAAATTTGTAGTTTGCCCGTGGTTTAAATTAAGTGATAATTTGAGTTATTTCATTAGGATTTTAACTGGAAGTTTAAAAGTTCAAAGAGCTTCCTTCCCCTGCTACAATAAAATTTAAAGATACTCAGTAGTTACCTCCAAGAAGTACTGCTCCCTGTGCATTTTTATCCTTGTTACTGCGAGGAGGAGGAACACTTTCCCACCATGTTGTAGCAGTATTCCATCATCAATCTTTTTTGCAATCTGAGATGGTGTTCCTGGAACACCATTTACTCTAACAGTACCTAATCCTTCATGGCTCATGAATGTCACGTGTGTGTGGTTTGCCATTGTCAAGGTAGCAGCTGTATCTACGAAGAAAGATTAAGCTTTGTAATTGTGCCATTAGATTAACAGTCAACCAATTTAAATTTTAAGTGCTATTACCTGAACTTGATGTTTTAATAAACATCTTCAGGTCGAATTTAGCATGGGAGATTCAGAAAAATGTTTTGACTACGTCAAAACTTCAAAAGTACACTATTTTAATATTTACATTAAACTGGGTAGCTAGGCGAGGCCATCCACTGCCCCCCCCCCTCCAAAAGTTACTAAAACTAACATGCTAAACCCAGAACACTAAACCAGCACAGCCGAAGTAAATTCTTCTTACCAGAGGCGTCGTAACGGGGGGGGGGGGCGCCCCGGGTGATACTATTGAGCCTCTAAAGATGGCGACACTAATGCCCAAAACAGTGCTGCACCAACAAAAGAATCCTTAGTTTCTATATAGCCTATATGATTACAGTACAAATAAGCCTAAATAGGGAAAGTCATTGATTTTGATGTGATTGGTTTTGCAGGATCGAAGGCAAGGAAATGCAAGATCATATTCACCGAGATGTTACCTGTACTCAAGTTCAAATAGGAACTAGTGTGATATTGCAATGTTTTACTCGATTTCAATTTCCCCCCCCCCCATTGTTGAAGATGAATAAGTAGGATCTGTTACCTGTACTCAAAGTGGTATTTGAGTTTGTTTCCTCTATTTCTACACGGGCATAACACCAGACAAACATCTCTACGACATTCCCCGTGTCCAACTAAACCTTTACAAAAATTCAATGTATGTCAAAGGCCCTAAAATCTGGAATACCCTACCTGAGAACTCTAGAACTGCCGACACATTCATCACCTTCAAAACTACCATTAGAAAAATTCTTATCTCCCTGATACACCCCGTCAACTAACTACACTAATACCACCTGGTGGTTCACACTCATTCATTCATTCATTCATTCGACCATAAACAGAAATATTAATCTCAATCTTAAAATAATGAATCCTGTAATACTCCAATACTGAAACTATGTACTGTGCCAAAACAAAGGCATTCACATTGCTAAACTCACAAACTAGTATTTAGTCAGCCATAATACCAGCTTGCCTCAATTTGTAATATTTTACAATTAAGAATAAAACTAAGTCTGCCCGAAATGCCTAGCCATGCTAAGCGTTCTAGTGGTACACTCTGTAATCACTATTTACTACATGTAAACCACACAACCAAATTTCTGTAAACTCAGCATTGTAATCCTTAGAGAATAAACTTTGAATTTGAATTAATAAAATTTAGTATTCTGTTCAGTTTATGGCCCTTAAACTTTCTCATTGTTAAACAGTCACTGGTCATGCAGCAGTGACGTAACGAATTTACCCCCCCACCCTTGATTTTCAGGGGGGGGGGGACACCAACTCTAGCGACGCTGTCTCTTACCAACACGTAGTGAAAGGTCTGTCACTTTCTTTACGTTGCCGCTGGAGAGATTGAGGGTGTAGATTGTCGAGATATCTGCATCGTGAACGTAAAGTGTTACTACAGTACCATCAGATACGCTGGACAGAAGCGTACCCGGTAACAACTCTTGGTGCACCTGGCCAATGGGAAAAAAAAATATCCAATTTGTTTTAATATGCTGTTGAATTAGTGGCAATCAATGAACTATCAATTCTTTAAAAGTTAAGCAGTTTTCGCAATGCGAAAGTTAAATTTATGCATTGTGAACTTTTTTCTACAAGTAGTAATACATACAACAAAGGTGGCATCTTCTGTGACCTTCCAAATAACACTCGTTTGTCTCTCACAGTCATTATCACTAGATGACGCAGCCATAGCTAAGTACACCTGAAATTAGTTACAAAGTAAACTAGTGAAAGGAGGACTTTGGGTTGCAATTGGCTAACATTCTGAAATACTAGTGAAAATTCTTAAATACTATCTCTGTCCCTCTTATCTCTGTTAAGACTTGCTAATGCTATTCTAAATAGCAGTTGCGCGTTTTCAACCCCCCCTCCTCACCTGATTATCCTTTGCTCCGAGGAAAAGCCAGTGATGTGCGTAGCCAGAATCACCGAGGGCGATTTCAGTCATGGTAGTGGTGTGGGGTATGAATGTGTATATAGTGGAGTCGCACCTTCCTCCTTCCCAGCTCACCACAACGTAGGTGTTGTTTAAGGCCTTCAAAATAATTATAATTAAAGTAGCTTTAAGCTAGGACTTAACTTTCTTTATAATATATATATAATATACGTTTCCTCCTTTACACAAATTAAAGGAAACAGTCACCCAAGTAGAGTAAGCAGAAAGTTTATGGAGGGAAGCAATGCAAGGAAAATATGGTAGGCACTCACACTGAAGGATACCGAGGAATGTCTTCTGTAAGGCGTCAGATACTCGTAGACAGAGGCGAAGTGGTCTGCCTCGAAGATTGCTCTCTCAAGGTGGCGGTACAGACTGACGACTGGAGGGCAAGTTTCCTCGTATAACCTCTGCCGTAAGAAAAACAATTTTAGAGAAAAAAAAAATGTACACTGATAAAGTATGCAGTTTATGCCCCCCCCACCTCCCGTTATAAAAAAAAAAACAGTAAACTTCAGTAAGTTTTCGACATGCAACCATTCAGATTAGGTGCAGGAAAAGTTTTAATTTAGATAAACTATTCTCTGAAAGTTTAAAATTATATCTAAATTTGATTCGAAGCAAGAGTGAATCATTGTAAAATACAAACTTCCAATGCAGTTGTCGTAGTGTTGAAGGTTTCTAGGGTCTGAGTCATGTTCCGTTGCAGATCTAAGACCTTCAGGGACGACATGCTTTGATTCCGGAGAAGAGCTTCCTGGTTTAAAAGAATATTTTCAGTACTTTAACTGTGCAGAACTAAAAAATTAAGCATTTTCATAATGACTGGGTTTGTTCTGTAGTCAGGGGGTGCAAATTAAGTTACCCTAACTTTTTACCCCCCCCCCCCCAATCCTCCTCGAGGTATAAAGGGAGTAAAGGTTAATAGGTTATTTTTTCTTTAGCCATTACATAAAGTATGAACTTTCGTACACAAACTTAAGTTACTTGCCAGCAGAATAACTGGGCCATTAAAAATCATTGCACCAGTGATATCTGTTGCCTTGTCAAGGTACCAGGCGTTGCGAAGAGTTCAGGAATGTTCACACCACTAACTATACCTGGGACACTGGTCACTGTCTCGGCAATCACTGGTTGCATAAACACTAAAGATCCTGAGGGAAGGAGCAAGAGAAGTTGTGTAATTATACAAGTATTAAGTTTTAAGATAAAGAGTGACATTTGGTTAGTTTAGATTGTCAGTCCAATACAAAGAATTGAAGATTAGCAGTTTGAGGTAATCAGTTCCTCTGCCTCAAACTCGAGTCCACCATTTTGTATTTGTAAAATTTTTTATTTGAGGTTTGTGAAATTCAGATTGCATTGGCTCAGCATTAAATAAATCTGCTTCGTGCACGAAATTTTAGACCAACTGCTTTACCGATCTACTATTTTGACTAAAAATACCATGAATTTCGTTGTCTTTGTGAAGTTGCACAGAGTCTTCAGAAATGTCCACTTTTACTGTTGTCCCTACGAGGCCAGAAAGGGTCACGTCGCCCAGGACTTCTACAGATCCTTTCATGATGATCCTGCCTGTCAGTGTTTGGCCACCGGTTGTCTGGAACAATTTTGTTAAAAATTTAGAGAAATGAGTGGAAGATTTAACATTTTTAATTTGCTTAGTCAAAAACTCTTAAACTTTCAAAAGTTTACCATGAAGCTAAAACAGAAGGGGAAAAACTCGTGTGCGGGGCAAAGGGGAATGTGGTAGTTTTAAAGTGCTAGAACTTCAGTACTTAACTAATTTACAAATGTCTACAGTCCATTTACTTTAGCAAATCTAAGACTGAAGCCAAACATCAGGATGGTACGAATTTGAGAGGTTTACCTCAACTTTCTTCCCCTCCCTTGCACTAATTTTTACTTCTCTGGTGTTACTAACATTGACCCACCTTCATAGTATTAGCGACTTCATCAGGTAGATACCACGAGTTCACGCGGCCACCCACAGCAACGTCTCCTGTCGTGATGTTACCGAAAGTAACGCTGAAGCGGATGGTTTGTTCCGTGTCGGTGGTCAGGAAGTCTCTCTCCAGGTTCATTCCATTTAGCTGCCCAGTCCAGATATCTCCATGAACATTGACATCTCTTATGAAGACCTGGAGAAAATTTTTTTTTTTTAATAACTTACAGGGGCAAAAATAAAATTTACCTGAAAAATTACTTCAGGCGGTATTCGTACTTACTAGATTAGAGTTTATCGTCTGATTCTTGTGCAGATATACTGCCTCGCTTAGGAACTTTGTGTAGTCCACACCGTCTACTGTGCCCTGTAGAAAGAAATAGCCATTTACTTACCCTTCAGATTTTTCTTTTAAAGCACATTGCTTAATGCAAAATTAAAACTGAACTTTCGAAGATGAAAAATTTTAACTGGGGAAAACTACTTCCCTGAACAGTAATAGTGTTGGCAGTGATACTGGGGCTTGTGATACTTCCTTGTACGACGATCTTCTGGCCGAGTGTGGAGACACCATTCTTGAGTACAACATGCTTCAAGTAGGTATCCAAGGGTATGCTGTTGAGGGTGTGCACGCGCAGGTTCCTGAAGGTGGTAGTGTTTGCCAGGAAGGTCTTCTTGCCAGTGATCACAGTGTCTAAATCATTAACTAGTACACTGTCTGCCAAGCGCTTTTCAATGTCCACCCCGTTGAAAATTCCTTCAATGTGCAGTTGACCTGAGTTCACATCACCGAAGAAAGTTACGTTACCTGGAAATTTTGCAGAAACGTCAGGAAATGTTAAGTTTGGAATGTATGTAGATGGCTCTTAGTCTAACCGTAGGCAAACTGCCACTATTTTGAAGTTTGGGAAGTGAATGGGTTACTCAAGAGGTCGTTAAGCTTACACCTATTAGACTAGATACCAGATGCTAGGTAACTGCTTTTACACTACCTTAATCTCTTAACATTAACTAGTAACCCATTATATAAAAATAGGAAAGTTACTATTAAATAAGTACCAGGGATCAGATTTATTATAGAGCCGTGGGAATCCAGTAGGAAATTTATAAGGCGGCAATTACTGTGACATGTACGTAGTAAATTATTAACCAAGTTACTTCTCTCAGGCCTAAAAAGGACAAGAAAAGCAACGAAGATGTACTGTCATACGTAGTACCAGACTGAAATCTTTAACAAGTGAAAGACCAAAAGTACAGGTTACTTGACTAGTAATTTAAAAACATTAAATACGAAAGGCCTAAACCAGTCAGTGGCACGTCACCAGCTTGGCAGCCACTTGCTCGCAGGTGTAATCGATAATTCTACCCACCAAGCATGTATTCTTTGGAGTAAGTGGGGAGGGGTATATCCGTAGTCTTTCCTGCAAGGGTGTCAGTGTTAAAAGTTTAAGGGGGGGGGGATTCCCTCCCTCAGACACCAATGCTGAACACAACCTTACCGTAGATTGTATCTTCGTCCCACAGGGTTCTATCAGAAGCCAAACTTGTGAGATTGACCTGGTTGTACAAGCCAAGGATGTTAACGGTGCCTCGAGCCTCTACGTTGTTCAAGATGTAGGGTCCGCTGATGCTCTGGACTGTGTGCCTCGTTAACATACTCTTTCTCAGGTCTATTCCATTAACGAAGCTTGCTTCAATGTCTCCCTGGACAGTCATTCCAGCCTGGAAGGTCTTTTTACCTGGAAAAGTAAAAAGTTGAAAAAAAAAAATGATTTACAATTCGATACGAAATTTCCGTACTATTTAAGCTGGTTTCACGTTATGACTAACCTGTTATAACTTGCAGACCCTCTACATCCTTGTAGATTAAGTCCTGGCTGAGCGCTAGGAGATCTACTCCGTTTACTAGTCCTCCAACGGATACGTCTTCCTGTAGTAATACCTGACCCCAGGTCGCTGCTCCGGTCATAACAGTGTTGCCAGTCAGCTTAACGGCATCGAGGTCTATGTTACTGATGTTTAGGCCATTAGCCCCAGCCTTTTGATAAGTTGTAACTGGTCCCTGCACAGTGAGGTCTGTGAAGGTTAAGTCTGCAGTTATAATTGAAGATTCATCCTTCATAACCAAGTTGTTCATTAGCACATTAATGTCTTTACCATTTATGGTACCTACTGATAGCTTGCCCAGCACAGATACTGGTCCTTGGACAATCAGTTTTCCAGTGTGGTAGGTGGGGGAAATCAGGCTCACGTGAGATTTTTGTAGTCTAGGTATGTCAACAGTGTTTACCGTAAAGCCGGTAGCTAGGTTTATGGACGTGGCCTGCAAGCTACTAAAGACTACCGAGTGGAGGGATTGTGATGCCGTGAAGGTCTGGTCGGTACTTTTAGTAACTACATTCCTTATGTCAAAGTTTTCAATTCCTTCAGTGACCAAGTCTTTAGAGCTTAAGCGGGTGAAAGTTTTCCTGCCTCTTACTACTTGTCCTTCCTTGTCCAGATACACTGCTGATTGTACTAGCTTTTCCAAATCTACTCCGTCCAACAAACCAACTGTTAGCGACCCGAATGAGACATCGTTCTTGAAAACTTTCCTGCCAGAGATGCTATGCGAACTGTCAATTGTCACCAAGTTACTGAAGCTTTCTCCGTTAAATGTACTCTTGAAGACAGCGTTAGAAAAGCTTACTCCAAGTTTAAAGTTTTTGTGCGATGTTATGACTGCAGAGTCTTCATCGTCGTAAATTATATCGCTGACGAGATCTGCCCAGTCAAGGGCGTTGAGTGTCCCGCCAAATGACAGTGACGGAGCTTGTACAGGTTTTTTAAATATCACATCAAATTGCCAATCTGAAGTGCTGATATAAGAGAGACTGGCGTTCAGCTCATCCAAATTGACACCATCAATTATTTTGGAGGATATTTCCAAATCGCCTTTTATGTAGACACCCTTGGCAAAGGTTTTCTCCCCAGTGATTGTCTGGGGAGTGTGAAGGGTCACTAGTTGATTCAGAGGCAGTCCGTCCACCAGGCACTGGGGACCAACCCGTAAAGTATCGAAGTAAACATCCTTGAATCTCTTGGCTCCGAAATTTAGTGTGGAGTCAGTTTTAAGAGGGTAATCATTAGGGAAATTCTTTCCATTTATTTTTCCCTTTACTATTAGGTCTCCATGGATTTCCATGGAAGGAACCATTAGACTTCCCCTCATCACTGAAGACTTGTTCTTGAAGACGGTAGTAGACATGAAATCTACAGTGTCAACCCCCATAATGTATCTAGCATCCAACGTGTGGATGCTTAGAGTGTCCAAAAACTCCAATGATCCCAGGATAATGCCACCACGCGTGGTAAGTGCGTTCTTGCTCAATCTTTCTATGTTGACGCCACTCACGACGTTTGACATTGCCAACATATCAGTCACCCATAGATCACTCTTAAATGTGCAACTACCTGCAAAGGGAAAGAAAAGATTTGATGGTTGTGTCGATAAGGTAAAATTTTAACAATGGAAGTATGACAGGGATAATTCAGTACTGGTCCCAGACTTTCGCTTAGCAGATTACAATGGGCTTAGAGAACACTTATCTGTGGACTGGGGTAACGAAGAGATCTATCAGTATGACAGCTTTAACAATACATGCTGCCCAAAGGACATTTATCCCGTACAAGGAAATTAGATCAATGGAAAGGACCCCAGATGGATGAATAGGCTCAAATAGATTTTAGGTCAGAATATAGGCGCATCGAAAGAGGGGAGGGTCATCTTATGAATCAGTATAGACATTAAGAGGGACGTTAAAAAGGGATAAGAAAAGCTAAACGGGACTATGAAATTAAAGTTGCTAGGGATTCGGAAGCTAGCCCTAATTTTTTTTCCATGTTCATAGAACAAAAGTTAGAGGCAAGATAGGTATCCCTTAAAAATAACACTGGGCATCTCGCTGACAACGAAATGCGCTCTATTCTTTATTTTCTGTTTTCACTCGGGAAGACTAACAATATCCCAGTAATTAATTTTTATATTGGGCCTGATAAATTATGCAATATCACAGTCACTACCGAATTTATCAAAAATAGACCGGTTAAAGCAAAATAAATCCCCGGGCCCTGATGAACGTTTTTCAGGGGTTCTTAAAGTGTAAAATGGAACTTTGTGAACCATTGACTAATATTTTTAATATTTCTCTTCAAACAGGTATATAGTGTCTGATATATGGAAGATTGCTAATGTAATTCCTATTTTTAAAGCAGGGGAAAAGTCGTTACCGCCCAATAAGCCTAACCTCAATTGTAAGCAAATTACTAGAGTCAATTATAGCTGATAATATAAGAAGCCATCTGGATAAGCACAGCTTATTAATGATAATCTGGCATTGATTCACGAGGGGCCGTTCCTGCCTAACTAATTTATTAACCTTCAGTAAAGCTTGAGGCCGTTGATAATGATAAAGAATAAGAGTTTTAGATTTTAGTAAGGCTTTTGATAGAGTACCACACCAGAGACGCGAGTGGTAGCTCATGGCATTGGGGGAAAATTACTGTCATGGCTCACTAATAGGTAAAGTAAAAGGACAAGTGCAACTAATGTGACATTTTATTGTGGCAACGTTTAGCTCTCCAGAAGCTTTATCAAGCCATTACAAACAATACAGACAGTATATATAGGCTCAGTGAGTAGTACTATTAATGACAAGTTTTAGTGGTAGTAGTAATACAATATGATAGAGCAATTAATTCGTACACGAGTAAAAGGATATAAAAGCTATTTGCGTAATAAAAATAGGTTGGACAGACTGGAGAGAGGCAGCCTGTTTCAGTGTTCACTCTAATGTGCTTTGTGTAGTATAACAGGAGAGTGATGGCAGGGTTTACTGTTTTCAGGAGGGTTCTTGCTAGGACTTCAGAGATGGTGAAGCTGCCGTTTTGTTTAATTTTAATCGAAACTGATCAGTGCTGATTCGAGGCGCTTGCGTCTACGGAAGTTAGTTTCTTTGATCACTGTACGAATGGTATATAATACCGACAAGATGAGATTAAGACATGTGCAACATCTGGGTATCTTTATTGGCGACTTTTCGCCATCCAGTGGCTTTATCAATACAAATTCTAGGACATAACTTGAAGACAGTAGAACTATGTACAGAAGATGAGGTAATCAGTCCCTCAATCTAGGAGTAGGTGCGAAGAGCACCATAGTCGTGGAGATTCTCCACGACTATGGTGCTCTTCGCACCTACTCCTAGGTTGAGGGACTGATTACCTCATCTTCTGTACATAGTTCTACTGTCTTCAAGTTATGTCCTAGAATTTGTATTGATAAAGCCACTGGATGGCGAAAAGTCGCCAATAAAGATACCCAGATGTTGCACATGTGTCTTAATCTCATCTTTGATCACTAATTGGGCGTCCCTGACTCGAGATTGGTGGAATTTCGGTGTTTAACATTAAAATGGTATAAAATAGACAGGTTGTTAGGTAAGACACGTGCAACAGTTAGGTATCTATTTCGAAACCTTTCGCCTACACAGTAGGCTTCAGTCGAGTACAGAAAAGTTGATAGAAGCAGAGGAGACTTGAAGACTATGTAATCAGTCCATCACCTCAAAACTTTAAGGGTGATGGACTGATTACATAGTCTTCAAGTCTTCTGCTTTATCAACTTTTCTGTCCTACTGAAGCCTACTGTGTAGACGAAACGTTTCGAAATAAAGATAACTGTTGCATATGTGTCTTATCTAACAATTTCGGTGTTGTACACAGGCGTTAAAGTTATCGTTCCTACATGCGTAAATGTGTTCATTGAGGCGGGTGTCGAGGTGTCTTGCTGTTTCACCTACGTAAGTCTTGTCAGATTTACGTAGGTGAAACAGCAAGAAGCCTCCACACCCTCCTCAACGAACACATTTACGCATGTAGGAACGATAACTAAACGCCTGTGTACAACACCGAATTTCCACCAATCTCATGAAAGTCAGGGACGCCCAATTAGTGATGAAAGAAACTAACTTCCGTAGACGCAAGCGCCTAGAATCAGCACTGATCACCGTTTCGAATACAATTAAACAAAACGGCAGCTTCATCTCTGAAGTCTTAGCAAGAACCCTCCTGAAAACAGTAAACTCCGCCATCACATACTCTTGTTATACTACACAAAGCACAGTCAACACTGAAACAGGCTGCCTCTATCCAGTCTGTCCAACCTATTTTTATTACCCAAGTAATAGCTTTTATATCCTTTTACTCATGTACGAATTAATTGAACATTAAAATGGTATAAAATACCGACAGGCTGTTAGGCAAGACATGCAGACATGTTAGGTAAGACATGAAGCCTACTGTGTAGGCTAAACTTTTAGAAATAAAGATGCCTAACTGTTGCACGTGTCTTGCCTCACGAATTAATTGCTCTACCATATTGTATTACTACTATTAAAACTTGGTCACTACTACCACTAGTATTGCACCTCACTGAGCCTATATATACCCTCTATGTATTTTTTGTAATGGCTTGATAAAGCTCCTGGAGAGCGAAACATTGCCACAATAAAATGTCACAAGTTGCACTTTTGTCCTTTTACTTTACATATTGTCGGTAATTCTACCAACTTAATTACAATCTGACACCGTAACATAATTGACATTTCATGCTCACTAATAGGAAGCAGAGTATGCTTAAATGAGGCTCAATCCGAGTGGGGATCTGTAACAAGTGGCGTACCACAGGGATCTATCTGTCTTAGGCCCGTTGTTTATAACAGTGACCTAGATGAGAATATTACTAGTGATACGAGCAAATTCGCCGATGACAAAGAAAAGTAGGATAATTGATTCAAACGTGGATGTTACGGAACTTCAGAAGGATTTAGACAAACTATTCTTGGTCAGAAAAGTGGCAGATGCAGTTCATTTTAGATAAATGCAAGGTTCTGAAGCTCGGGAGTGTCCATAACCCTAGCACTTTTAAGTTAAATAATGTAGAACTTAGCCATACAGATTGCGAAAAGGACTTGGGGGGGGGGGGGGGTATGGTGAGCAGCAACCTTAAACCAAGACAGCAATGCATAAGCGTACGTAATAAGGCAAATAGATTGGGATTTATATCAAGTGTAAGCAACAGAAGTCCAGAGGTTATACTGCAGCTTTATACATCATTAATAAGGCTTCACCTAGATTATGCAGCTCAGTTCTGATCTCCATATTACAGAATGGATATAAATTAGTTAGAAAACATTCAGCGTAGAATGACTAAATTAATACATAGCATTATAAATCTTCCTTATGAAGAAAGATTGAAGACTAATTACATTCTCTTGTTAGACGAAGAATGAGGGGAGACATGATCAAAGTGTACAAGTGGAAGATGGGTATTAATAAAGGGGACATTATTAAAGTCTTGAGGATGTCTCAGAGCCCGCAGTAATGGATTTAAATTAGACAAGTTTAGACTCGGAAAGGACATAAGAACATAAGAACGAAGGAACACTGCAGAAGGCCTACTGGCCCATGCGAGGCAGGTCCAAGTCTCCTACCGGCTTAAGCCAATGCACCCAACCTAGTCAGGTCAGGTCACATTGACTTAAGGGAGGAACACGGCAACCGATCTGGTAGCACAAGCTATCAGGTCTAACTCACACCCACCCACATCCACTCATGTATTTATCCAACCTATTTTTAAAGCTACACAACGTTCTGGCCTCTAACGGTACTTGGGAGTTTGTTCCACTCATCCACAACTATTACCAAACCAGTACTTTCCTATATCCTTCCTGAATCTGAATTTTTCCAACTTAAAACCATTGCTGCGAGTCCTGTCTAGGCTAGATATTTTCAGCACACTATTTACATCCCCTTTATTTATTCCTGTCTTCCACTTGTACACCTCAATCATATCCCCCCTAATTCTACGTCTTTCTAGAGAGTGCAGTTTCAGGGCCCTTAGTCTATCCTCATAGGGAAGGTTTCTGATACATGGGATCATCTTTGTCATCCTCCTTTGTACATTTTCCAGAGAATTTATATCCATTCTGTAATACGGTGACCAAAACTGTGCAGCATAATCTAAATGAGGCCTAACCAAGGATGTATAGAGTTGAACAACCTGAGGACTTATTATTTATGCTTCTTGATATGAAGCCAAGGATTCTATTAGCTTTATTGCGAACACTTATGCACTGTTGTCTTGGTTTCAGATTACTGCTAACCAGAACTAAATCTTTTTCGCAATCCGTAATATTAAGATCTACATTATTTAGTTTATATGTGGCATGGTTATTGTCCTGTCCAACATTTAGAACTTTGCATTTGTCTATATTAAACTGCATCTGCCACTTCTCCGACCACTGCATCAGTCTATTCAAATCTTCCTGGAGTGCTCGAATGTCCTCGTCAGAATGAATTCGACGGCCTATTTTGGTGTCATCGGCAAACTTGCCGATGTCGCTCTTTATGCCCTCATCTATGTCGTTTATGTAGATTGTGAACAGCAGGGGCCCAACACTGACCCTGTGGAACACCGCTCGTGACGCTTCCCCACTCTGATTTCTCCCCATTTATGCAAACTCTCTGCTGCCTATTTGTCAACCATGCCTCTATCCAGGAAAAAATTTCTCCTCCTATTCCATGTGCTTTAATTTTCCTCAATAGTCTCTGATGTGGGACCCTGTCAAAAGCCTTACTGAAGTCCATATACACTATCATATTCATTACCATGATCTACCTCCTCAAATACCTTAGTGAAAAAAGTTAATAAATTCGTAAGGCAGGAACGCCCCTTTGTAAAACCATGCTGAGATTCGTTGATTAATTTATGCTTTTCAAGGTGGCTACGAACTGCCTCGGCAATTATTGATTCCATAAATTTTCCCACTATGGAGGTTAGGCTTATTGGTCTATAGTTCGAAGCTAAGGACCTGTCACCTGTTTTGAAAATAGTTATCACATTTGCCATTTTCCACTTACCTGGCACCATGCCAGTTTGTAGTGATATGTTGAAAAGATTAGCCAAAGGTGTCCTAAGCTCCTCTTTACATTCCTTTAGAACCCTTGCATACAGTTCATCAGGGCCTGGGGATTTGTTAGGTTTTAATTTATCTATTTGCCTAAGGACCATGTCACTTGTGACCCTAATAGTGCACAGTTTATTATCGTCCTGTTCTACATAATTTATCATTACTGGAATATCGCTGGTATCCTCCTGTGTAAAAACTGAGAGGAAGTACGTGTTAAAAATTCTACACATTTCCTTATCACTGTCAGTGAGCTGACCCGAGGAACTTTTGAGTGGGCCTATCTTGTCCCTGATCTTACTTCTGTATACCTGAAAGAATCCTTTTGGGTTAGTCTTCGATTCTCTTGCAACTTTAACCCCATAATCTCTTTTTGCTTTTCTAATTCCCCTTTTTTTATTTCTCTCTAAGTGAATATATCGATTTCTTAATTGCCCCTCTCCTCTTGATTTGCCTATATATGCCTCTCTTGACCAGATATTTTAATCTATTGTTCATCCATTTAGGATCATTTTTGTTTGATCTGATTTCCCTATTTGGAACAATTTGTCTGAGCAGCTAGAACTATGCCCTGGAAAGCATCATATCGGCAACCATCACCACCTACCTGACCCTTAGTCAGGTCATAGGAAAGTATCTGTTTAGAAATGGGGTAGTTGAGTGGAACAGTCTACCTAGTTGGGTTATTGAGGCTAGGACCGAGTAGTTTCAAATTTAGGTAGGATAAATATACGAGTAAGGGGGTTGGATTTGAGCGAGACTCAAATGAGTGGATAGTTATGAGCTTATTTCTTGGGTAGCATTGAAAATTGGGTTGGGCAAATGTTTTGTTAGTGGGATGGATTGTAAAGGACCTGCCTAGTATGGGCCAACAGGCCTGCTGCAGTGATCCTCTATGTTATCAACTGGCAACAGTGATTCTTAACGCACGAAAGAGGCTACGATATTAATTTTTTTGCCGCTATAAGGTTATGTAAATTTTATTTAACCATGTAGTTGCCATTTTTCCATGCTAAGTTGTGCCGGGTCTACCTTACACTAAGATTACTATCAAGCTACAATAGTTACTAGTGCTTTGAGAGCTTAAAAGCTGCGGCTTTTAATACAGAACACCGTTGCTTTCAACTCTTAGGAGTTAATCGTGGTAAATTTAAGCCATTAGAAGTTAACTTTTCCGGAGCACTTTCCCGTAGATCAGAAGCATTAGTACTGAGGATTATGCATAACTATGAAAGTTAAATTAAAGAAAAATTAACTATAGGAATCCAGCACTAAAATTTATACGCACATTTTCTTCAGCGAATAGTTCAGTGCACTTCCTCTAATCTGCTTGCAAAGTATTGGCATTATTATGAGACATTAAAGACCTTTCAAATTTTTGGCTTTCAGCGGAGCTTTTGACTAAGATAATGTTTAAATCATTAACAGGTAAAGAAAGCCTATTCTCCACTAAATATTTAAATCTGGGTAAGCAAAGCAAATGTTTGTAGAACAAAGCCGCATCTTTAACCCGTAAACGGTCCAAACTTATACGTTTTTTCAACATTTGAATGTAAAAAATTTTTTTCTTCATTTGAAAGTAAAAAAACTTTTGTAGCACTACACATGTGAACGTAGATCTGCTTGGACAGTTTACGGGTTAAAGAATGAATTTTACACTTCAGTGTCAAGTTCTATTAATTCACAAACAATCTGGAAGTAATTATGACTGAGCAAACTGGCTGACAAAATCTTACCTAATCTGGCTTCTCCAGTCAGTAACACTGCTTCTTCCGAGAGGTCAATACCTCCTACCATCCCTCCTGGTGTCACATTTATGATGTTCGCCCTCAAGCCGTTTAGGAAGGATGCACCGACGATGGTGTCAGAGCCATCCGTGGTGACAAGATCACTCACCGGGACGTCATCCAGGAGATCAGTGTACAAGTTCCCAACAGTCAGTGTGTTCAGTAGTGTCTTGCGGCCAGCGATGGTACGAGTGTCATTATACCTACAAGTGAATGTAGGTACCTTTACTTTCCCACCAACCAAGAATTTACCAACTGTTCTGGGATGTAGAAGATATTGAGAAAGATGCCTAAAGTATTTTTTTTTTCTCCACGTCTGCCGTTTTGAGTTATCTAAAAGGATAGCGTGTAAACAGTAAAAGTTTACGATGTCAAATGGCAGAGAAATTAAGAAAATTAAAACCTTTAAGACTAAAAACTTAAAGGGGGATGTGGGTGTTAGGTATATTAGAATTTCAGATTTAATTGAAGTTAGATCAAACTACAAAAAATTTCCCTGCAAAGACCTGATTAGATACCATAACCCGCTAAAGTTAATGCCATTTTTCTTTCCAGGAAGGTACAGAACCATCCCCCCCATTTCCAGATAACCTTGCGAGAGACTCCAACTGGAGGTAGCCGCACATTGCGCAGTATAACCAATGCCGTGGATCTAACAATGCGTCCGATCAATCTGAATAAATTTCCTTTATGGGAATACCACCTGCGGAATGGGAGGCATTCAGGTTCGATTCAAGGAAAGGGATGGAAAATTTAGCTCTTTGGATAAACAGCCCCGTGTGGTCAAAGGTCACGTGTGGTTTTTGTCCTAAGCTGCCTGGGAATTAGCGTGGGGAGGTTACCGAGCACCATTGCCTGCTGTAGTGCTTTGGAATATTAGTGTTAAAGTGTTGGAGGTTCTACTTCAGGAGAAAAGAGGCTGAAGCTTCACCTAGATGGATTTGGGAGAGAGGGTTGGAACTGAAAAGGATACTAGCAGCGAGATAAAGAGTTGGAGCCGCTTTAAGTGGCAAGCGGTTCACAACTCTGGAAGACAAGGAAGGTTAATAGGGAAGATGTGAAGGTAGGAAATAAATTCTGTTCTCCAGGAAGAGTGCACTTCAGTGGTTAGCGAGGTTGAAAGTACCAACTTCCCCTGCTAATCAAGGTAATATTCTAATTGTAGGAGATTCTCAGGCAAGATACATGGACCGTGCCCTTTGTAACGAAGGTCAGAGGGTGTGCCTCAGGAGCTGGTGTTTGTACATAGGAAGCAGGTTGGATGTTTCAGGTAATGGGAACAAACCCATTATCTGTGCTGGTGGAAATGACCTCAGGAAGGGCAGGAGACAGGAGCTGCTGGATAAGTATAGGTCAGCCATAGTCAGGTCGATGAAAGTTAAGATACTTGCGCAATATCTGGTTATCTTTATTGTAAACTTTTCGCCATCCAGTGGCTATCAATACAGATTCTTGGACAATTAGAAAACAGAACTATATACAAAAGATGAGGTAATCAGTCCCTCAGCCTTTGAGGTGGTGTTTGCAACATCGTGGTTGTAGAGATTCTGAAGCACAGGTAAGCAAAGCAAGCAAACAAGTTCAGGTAAGATCCCCATGGGACGAGCGGGGAAGATGGGACATGATAAATAGCTCTGGAGAAGAGCTCTTAGAGAGCCAGGGCTTAACCCAGCAGCTAAGGCGATCGTGGGGCAGACTTGAGAACAGGAATAGCAGGGACTGTTGCATTGAACTTTTAGTTGAAGTCTTGAATCTCGAGTAGCTGGCAGCAGGCTAGGTCACAGAGGGTACAACACAAATGGGAGTTATAGGAGTAACTGAGGAGGCAGGTTGGCTATGGAGCCATTTTCGAACTTTTTGAAGCTGCTTCTAGATAGGTGGTATAGTTAAGCCTTGTTACTGAAGGTGAAACTTAGAGGCTTGATGAACTCAAGAACTTGGGTGTGTGAAGTGAAGCGGTGATTCACATGCATACTTTATTGTTCCAGCACCGAGGCTTTTGTAGAGTTCAGTACAGGTCATTGCGTCAGTATTTGAAGAAGTGTGAAAGGTAAGGTTTTCCCATGAGGGTTTACTGGAGTCTTCCTTATCTTCCTCTTCTGGAGTGAATTCATTGGGAGAATCTACAATAGTGGTAGCAGGTGACCGAGGGTCGACAGGAGCAGCTGTGAGGTGTAACAGCAGGCTGGGAGAGGTGGGAGAGTGGGTGAGGCAACTTTATCAACGTTGTCAGCGGTGGAAGTGGTTATAGAAGTTACAGGAGCAGTTGCTTGGGCAGGAGACAGGTTGCAGGTGCAGAAAAGTTCAGGATGTTGGGAAGGATCTTGAGGATGTCTTCTGAAGGTGTGGAGTCCGGAAAATTGAAGGCAGGCATGTTCAGACTGAATAGTTCGTTAATAGTGTTGAAAGTGTCGGGGCTTGCTGCGTTTGCAAGGTGTGCATACACCATGCAGTACAGCACCTTGGAGGGAGCACCGTCGGGGAGTGGACAGAGGAAGCTGCTGGGCGATGGTGGCTGTAGATTAGAGTGTAGAGTCTTGATGGTGTCTGGTTTGGTTATTGCAGCGTATGTCGGTGAATTGGAGGCGTTTAGAACTTTTTTTCTTCAATCTGATTTCTTTCCTGAGTGGGCACTTAGCTGCAAGGGTATGATTATTACCCTTGCAGTTAAGACATGTTGGTGCTGTAGTAATGGTGCAGGATCTGAAATCTTTTCCATTCCCACATTTAGAACAAAACTTACTCTTGATGGGGGGCAGTCCTTGGTGGTGTGATTATAGGAGTAGCAGATCCAGCAGTGGGAGATTTATGTGAAACGTGGTAATATGGGCGAATGTGGTAATATGAGATGGCCAGACCGTCAGAGCTTGGGCAGCCATGGAGATGTCGAGAATGTAATCTTTAGCATAGATGAGGCGTTAGGGATCTTTGAGATGCTGTCTACAGAGGCCCAGGTGTTTTGTTCCTCAATAGATGTCTTCAGTGCTTCAGTAGAGGTGACGATATTGTCCAGTCTTTTCACAAAGACCGAACGTTTAGACTTCAAGAATGGAGACGGGGATAGAGTGAATGTGTGTTTGTAGGGTCCTGATTTGAAGAGTCGTCCATTAGTTTTAGTGCTTCCGTGTCGTCTGTGCAGACGACAATGAAGGAGTTTGAGAGTGGATTGCCGTAAATTTGACCTGCAGGCAGGTCCTAACGACGGTAGCTAAAGCTAACTTCGAGTAGTCTTATTTGCACCATTCACAGGCTTGATTTTCACACTATTTGACAGCATTGTGAAAAGGCCGTGACGTTTGTAGAATATAAATTCTACACCCGGGGGGGGGGGGGTCGAAGAGGCTTCTTGCGGTGTAGAGCAACTGATCGGACTGATCAAGCGGCAAGCACAGGTAAAGAGACTGGCGCTTATATAGGAGTCAGTGAATAGGGACGTAGCAGACTAGGGCATAGTCAATGGTAGGCGGGATTCCCCAGTGGAAGTAGGTCCTTCTGTTTTCTAATTATGTCCAAGAATCTGTATTGATAAAGCCACTGGATGGCGTAACGTCTACAATGAAGATAACCAGATGTTGCACTGTCTTAACTTTCATCTTGTCGGTATTTTATACCTGACTTGCACAACTTGTCAGGCACTGCAACATGGTATCTTTATTGAGGACATCTACATGACCTTCGCTACTACAGCTAGCCCATTAATTTGGGAAGGACCTAATTCCACTGGGGAATCCCGCCTACCAGTGACTGCCCTCGTCTGCTACACGTCCCTCTTCACTGACGCCTATACAAGCGCCAGTCTCCTTACCTGTGCTTGACAGTCCGATCATACAGTTGCTCTACACCGCAAGAAGCCTCTCTCCGACCCCGTCGGGGTGTAGACTTTATATTCTACAAAAGTGATATCCTTTTCACAATGCTGTCGAATCTTGTGAGAAATCAAGCCTGAATGGTGCAATAAATGACTCTTCGAAGTTAGCTTTATCTACCGTCGTTAGGACCTGCCTGCAGGTCAAATTTACGGCAATCCACTCTCCGACTCTTAATTGTCGTCTGCACAGACGACACGGAAGCACTAAAACTAATGGACGACTCTTCAATCAGGACCCTACAAACAATTCACTATCCCAGTCTCCATTATTGAAGTCGAAACGTTCGGTCTTCGTGAAAAGACTGGACAATATCGTCACCTCTACTGAAGCACTGAAGACATCTATTGAACAAAACGCCTGGGCCTCGGTAGACAGCATCTCAAAGACCCCCAACGCCTCATCTATGCTAAAGATTACATTCTCAGACATCTCCATGGCTGCCCAAGCGCTCTCTGACGGTCTGGCCATCTCATTACCACATTCACCCCAAGTCATATAGGACAAGAACGTATCACATACATCTCCCACTGCTGGACCTGCTACTCCTATAATCACACCAAGGACTGCCCCCATCAAGAAAAAGTTTTGTTCAAAAATGTGGGAATGATGGACACTATTTCAGATCCTGCACCATTACTACAGCAACATGTCTTAACTGCAAGGGTAATCATACCCTTTCAGCTAAGTGCCCACTCAGGAAAGAAATCATATTGAAGAAAACTAAAGTTCTGAAGACCTCCAATTCACCGACATGTGCTGCAATAACCAAACCACAAACAGACACCATCAAGACTCCACGCTAATCTACAGGCACCATTGCCCAGCAACTCCCTCTCTCCACTCCCCGACGGTGCTCCCTCCAAGGTGCTGTACTGCATGGTGTATGCACACCTTGCAAACGCAGCAAACCCCGGCACTTTCAACACCACTATTAACGAACTATTCAGTCTGAACAACATGCCTGCCTTCAATTTTCCGGACTCCACACCTTCAGCAGACATCAAGATCCTTCCCAACGTCATGAACTTTACTGCACCTGCAGACCTGTCTCCTGCCCAAGCAACTGCTCTTATAACTTCTGTAACCACTTCCACCGCTGACAACGTTGATCAAGTTGCCTCAGCCACCGTCTCCCACCTCTCCCAGCCTGCTGTTACACCTCACAGCTGCTCCTGTCTACCCTCAGTCACCTGCTACCACCATTGTAGATTCTCCCAGTGAATTCACTCCAGAAAAGGAAGATGATAACGACGACTCCAGTAAACCCTCATGGGAAAACCTTACCTTTTACACTTCAAATACTGACACCATGACCTGTACTGAACTCTACAAAA